CATTTTCACCATCTGCACCCCTGTTACCTATGGCCAGAAAAGAGCATGATTGCATTCTTGGCATGTACTGCTGCTAAAATCACTTCACCTTCCTGGTTGTCCTTATATAATTCCTGGAGAAACTTGCAATAAATTTGATATCTACATACATGCAGTAACAGACCTATTTCAACCTTCTCCAGCTTCCAGTTCCTTAAATTCCCACATGCCTTATATTCCATTTTTGTCGTACTGTTTGTTGAGCCATGTAAGTTACTGGATTTTCAAACACTGTTATGCCCAGGAATGATAATTTCCTTTCCCTTATGTTCAGAAGCAATCTAGAAATGGTTGCATCCTACGACATGCCATTCATAATTGAGTATGTATGATGAATTTTATGCTGGATGGCTTTACAAAATCCTCTAGTATTCAGGGGGCAGGAGGAAAAGTCTGGAAATCATATAGCCATATGTATATGAAATGCCTATATTACATTGACAAGCTATATCTATCAGATAGAAACATCTTAAATTCATTGTAAGAAATATATGTGCCAATTGGTTCAGGTGGAAACTGAAATTATGATTGTTCTGAAGCAGATAGGAATCCACTTCTTGTCTTGTCAACTGATGTTATCTGAAAATATATCAAAGTGAAGCAAAGATAAGATATGGACTGATCATAATGCTAAAATTTAATTTTAAATATATATTTTTTTAACTTTGAAAATGTTATAGACACCAAACTCTGAAGGACTGTCCTAGTTTTAGGGTAAGTATATGTATGCATGTATGTATGCAGAGTCAGGCGAAGTGTGGGTGTGGGGCTATGGGATCTTGGGGCTTGGTCCCAAGGTGAACCAATGTCCGATACCCCAAAGAATCCCACCCACTCTCCTTGGTCAAAATGAACTCCAGCCAGACACAAAAGTGGTGCAGATTCAAGCTGGCATGTCTCACTTGGCTGCAGTCACAAATAAAGGGGATCTCTTCATGTGGGGACACAACAGAGGTGGTCTTCTTGGCTTGGGACATGATAAGGACCAGTATTTTCCTCTCAGGGTCTGTCTTTTTTTTTTCTTCACATTTACATTCTATTCCTCTCTCAGCATATGACACATTAGGATTATTGTTGTGTGGAGAATGCTCCCAAAAATTGGATTATTTTCTATGGGTAACTTCTTATATGATCTGTTCAGAGGAGGCATGATGAAGGATGAAGTTGGAAAGATCCATTCAAGTAGAAAAAAGTTGGTACAGTCTTGAAAGTCCTTGTTATAAGGAATCTGGATTTCTACAAAGGTGGCACTTTTGGCAGTTTCTGATATCTCATTTTTTCACCTTCACAGTTCCCACATGTTCAGTTGTGATAATCCTACCAATGCCAATTGTATAGTTATATTGTAGAGCTTCTTCCAGATTCCTTGTGGCCAATTTTAGATATATTTTCCATAAGAAATGTCAGACTTGAGGTAATTAAGTTTTTTATTTTTAAAAACTTTGCACTGGTGTCCTTTTTTCATCTATTCTATCTTCAAAACTTAATGTAAATGTAATGTTGGTTTTAAAAAACCAACATGATATTTTATCATTGACCATAAGAGCAAGAAATATAGCAGGTGAGTTATAGAAGCATTATATGAAGTTTTGACTTGAGATACATGGTCAGTTGACTTGGGACATTGCTTATATACTGTATCAGTGGTTAATGGCCATTGTTGGATCATGATCAGTGAATAAATAAAAATTGATGAAATTCATAAACCAATTGATAAATTTCTGAAAGGGTTCATATTAAGATATAGGAAGCAATACTTATACCAGGAAAAGCTGCTCTGTAGAAACCTGCTTGGGATTGGCAAAATGTGTACACTTTTTATTCATTCAGTCCTAACATACTTGCCATGCATAAATTTTTGTGATGATAATTTTCACCTGCACCTTGAAAAATTGTTATACCTTCAGCTAGCATCTTATTTGTGCAGAGGTACTGCTATTGGACTGGAATGTTGTTTTCAATGTTTATTTACAAATTATTATCAGTCAACATTTTAGGCTCAGTTTCCTTTGGGATTTTCAGTAGTCAGGTGCCAACAAACACCAATCCAAATATATCAAAATTTTGGGAAGTATTGCTTGAGCAAATCAACATGTTTTTCATGTTGTCATATGAGATTTCCTTATTCCAGATTCCAAGGGGCTTGTTTACCTTGTTCCTCCTTGTGGAAACTTCATCATGGATTCTTGATGAAGAGTCTTGCCTTTATGTTCTGCTTAGATTTTTTTCATGTTTTTCAGAACATGAAAAAAATCCAAACATCTCATGTTTGCATGCTTGATGTTTTTCACAACCTTGGTTATTAGGCATTGAATGTCATAGCATGTGCCAAGAGTAGAGGATTTTTAGAGTGAATTGCAATATTGATGTAGCCTGGGAATGATTGATTCATGTAAGGTGCTGTGATGTGTGTGCAGGTGGCAGTAGGTGCTCCAGTGAAGAAGGTGACTTTGGGAATAGATCACACCATGGCTCTGTGTCGTGACCCCATCTGATTGATTTTAGGGAATTATATGTTAATTCATGAAAAATAAAGGATCTCCTCATCTGTCAATCTCATCCTAAGTCTCATTTGTGCTGGTACCATTCCCATTAAACTTCATAGCTAGCTGACATTGCATGAATCTGAAGCACTGCTACTTCATGAGTCAGATCCTAGGAAAATGGACAAATTATGGCTCAAGAGTCATGACTCCCTAGGTCAGAACTCAAGGTGGAGTGGGCCTTTGAAGTGTCATACCTTTTTGCACATATTTACAACATTGACTTGCAGTGATGATATGACCAAACATACTTTGACACACCTTCGAACTTATCGTCATGACCCTGCTAGTGAGGAGTTGTACAGGGTCTTGCATAACCTTTTGCTTGGGGGTGCAGCTATTATGGATTGTAAAAAATTAGTGTTATGCATATTTTAAAAGCTAATTTTGTTCTCAATTCCCATTTGCCATTGAAATTTAACATTGCTAGGGTGGTTGGCGATGACGAAAGTCAACGTGTGATAGATCGCATTCGAGCATACGCCTATCGAGAAGCAAGGGAAGCAGGCGCAACATTTATCAATCGAAACTGAAAATCTCACCACTGAATCGCATGGAGAGGTGCAGTTACTGGCAACTGCAACTAAGGATATGAATCTTGTTTTACGAAATTCGATGACGGCACGCCGGAAAAATTGTCTGAAGTGAGAAAAATATTGTGTGGATAACAGTGGGAAAAGACAAAGAAAAAAAACTGCGGTCGAGTTGCAAAAATCATCTCGCGTGGCGTGGAAAGCCAATCAATCAGTCAACGAAACGACGATATCGTATCAAGAAAGGAATGAAGGCCTTAAGGAAAAAAGAGAAATTAGTGAAATTGGTTCTGACCGAAATTCGGAAGCGGTTCTCCTTAAAAACTTCCAAAATGAAACATAACTTTTTGAAAATATTTTGAAATTATACCCTCAACGTTTGAGGGCTGTATGTGAAGCCAATGGCGGTCACACAAAATACTTATGCATTACTGTATTCAGGTTGAATAAAAGTTTAAATTTATATATAATTTACAATTGTTCTATGTGTACTTAAGGTTGTACCCCCCCCCCCCTCCCAGCAAAAGGTTATGCAAGACCCTGTACATTAATAATATATAAGGTGACCAGATTTCCGTGTCGCGAAAGTGGGACGCCCTACAAATACTTCCCCTTGCCTCTTAAAAAAAAGAATACGAATGCATTTTGTTAGACAGACTATTGTATTTATTATTGTCAAAACAATAATTAGAAATTAGAAATTAGAACTGTTATTTAATTGTGCATCCACAGTAGCCCTAAATTGGGGGGGTTGGGAAAGTTCTTTTGGCTTGTCTTCCAAATGTCTCCGAATGCAAGAAGGCGTTTGTTTAAATTGTTAAAGAATTGTTTAAATTCTGCTCAGATAAATGATACAAGCGCATTCGATATTTGAAGCAAAGCTAAAGATGAACAGATTTAATTTCAGAGTTCGGGATTCAGCCCAGATTTCACTGTGCAGACGTGCAACTGGAAATTCGTTAACCTGTATGTTATTCATGATTTTCATCCAAGTCGCGATCCCGTTTTCAGAAAAATTTTCAGCAACGTCACATTTTCACTATACTGCAGCGAGTAGCCACATGCGACTGGCGTGACCTTTGACCTTTGGCGTGACCTATGTAGCCTCGCTCTCTGGTCGTTTGCTCGAGATCTCTTTCTGCGGAGAGGGAGAGATTCTATCGTGAGCGGGGGTACATTTGCACATTTATGCCCGGCCTCCTCAAAAATTCTCAGGAGTCACTTTCCCATACAATTTGAAAAAA